TAGCGAGCAACTCGAAATAAGTTCTCCTAATTTAATCCAGTAATTGCATTAAAATCTAGGAAAATAGACCGATCTAAGTCATAAACAGACAAGCTCAGATCATGTAACTTATGTTGTGTTATCACTAACAGTGCACAATTGTTAGTTGCTACAATTGAATTAAGAACTACGACAATTGTGGATCGAAGCCTCAAGTCTAGCAATTAACATGCAATTCCTAACTCAGGTGTTCAAGCTAAATTAAAAATCACACATCGTGACAAGAAACTAGAATAACACAAACAATTTTATATGACAAGTATAATAAAATAAATTGCATTAATCGAACATATTCACCGAGGGTTTAACGTCCCTAGAACCGAAATAAATATTTAGCTACACATAGCTAAATAATAAAAGCAAAAATAATAATCCATGTTCTACAATCAAAATTAATAAAAGCAAATAAAATAAAATAGCAAACTCCTTTATGATCAAAGTAGTCCATGGCTAGGCTTATGTTCAGCTAATGAATTCTTCAATCTCCTCCCCACCACTCACATTCTGCTCTCTGTTCCCGTACTCAAATTTCATCAAGATGAATTAATTTCGTCCATTTTTCTGTGCCATGCAGACTTTAGAATGAGAATCCAAAACCCACAAAACTGTCCAACATTAAAAATGAGAGATCCCTCAAAATAAAACTTCAATCCTTCAGCAGCACTTTCGCATTAGTCCAATTGTCAAATAATTAATTATCCATCAGCCAATAAGAGTCCTCACTAATAAAAAAATCCAACCAATTAATTTAAGACCCTATGCTGCGTGTATTTTGGCCATGCAAAATTATGAGTCACATCCTTGCATATTTAATTTTCCATCTCACCAATGTATGGATAACCGAAAAGGTCAAACAAAATAAATGTCCTCGGTCGAGCCAATTCGAAGCTATGCCCGAGGAGTTGAATAAGTGCACTTGGAGTGCCCGTTTGTTGGTTAAAGACAAGACTCTCCTTAATCATGTCGGTCTCTCGGTCAACGAGAGTATTCCTCGCACCGACGATCCTCGTAAGGTCGCGTTTAGTAATTCTTATCGACTAACGTTATTCGTCTTTTGTTGTATGTTTTGCAAGTTATTGATCGCAATTTATTTGCTTAACTGTCTAATTGTGTTGTCTTTTCTCTTCTTTTTTTTTTTCAGTTAAAGCTTTGGACCGCTTTGAGACCAATAAGGCCAAGAGCGACAAGCCCAAACAGACTGCTCTTCTGCCGAAAACCCTTGACTGCTCCGGCTCCGGGTCGAAAGAAGCGGCAGTCGAAACGACTGCTGCTAAAAAGTCGAAGGTAGTTCTCCCATCGATTGTCTCGTCGCAGAAGGCCTCGGGTTCAAAGTCCCAGAAGAGAGCCCAAGACGAGGCCGACTTTGTGTTGGTGCCCGACTCCCCCAAGCTCCAGAAGAGTCGAGACAAGGGGAAGTCGGTTGAGACTCCTCGTTCCCCGGTGCTCGAGACGGTGACCCTCGAGAGGCCGTCTCGACTCTGGGATCATCCCCATCCCCACGAGATTGCGAAGTATCTCGATTCAGTCATCCCTACTGCCGACAAGGCTCGTGCCGACCGTGATCCCTATGATCGAGCTGGTCATGCTCTCCTTTGCTTTTCTCGGGTAATTGCTCTCGACTTTTTCCTTGGTCGATTTTATTTCTTATTCTTGACTCTGCCCTGAGCTGATTTTTTTTTTATTCTTTGTAGTTCATGGCATATGTGATCCCTACACTGTTAGAGTAGTATACCCGGCGTTCCAATCGGATTGGACGTATTCTACTTGTAAATACAATCTGTTGGAATTATATTAAAAAATAAGGCATTACTTTATTTTAAGAGTAAATATTTATAATATATTTGCACCTAAGATAAAGTCCCTAGATCACTTATAGCTATAAGATATGGTTGCACATAGAGATGATGATCATGGAACATATCTTGAAAGCTATGATCTTAAATACAGTTCCAAGTCGTTGGATGTTTCGATATGGGATATCAAATAACTCCGGAAAGGACTTGCACATAGTATGTATGCTTATTAGATAAGAATGTTGCATTCCATCAACATTAGCGTGGGACGCAAATACATATATGTGGGTGCTTGTTAGAGAACAAGTTCACTGAAAATGACCGTATGAAAATTTTTAATGAAAGTTTATCATGTCGAATAAGAATTTTCATGTTACAATAGTACATGATTAATCCTTAGACTTGAGGCACGATGGTAACTTTGTGCATATTATATTTTACTTTGATTTATCCTTTTGATTGCTAGAATAATCGTATAAAGACATATTTTGGGTATTATATTAATACGTATGGAAGTTTGTCAGTGGTCAACAAAGGATTCGACATTATGAAGATAAGTGAATTTTCTATGTGTTTCATAGTTAGTAATTCAAAGTCCTTGGCCAAGGCGGGATGAATAGAGATTCATAAACGAATTACTAAACTTGAAATGGAATCATAGTTATTAAATCAATTTGGGTTTGGACAAAATCATACCCAAAGATTTAATTGGAAAATTGGATGTTGAAAGGATTTTGCATGTATGGACTTGTAATCGAAATAGGTTTACTCGCTATTCACTTAATACTAGATTCATGCTACTTGCTAGATGTTCCCATGATATGTGGGTTCTTGAATTAAAGAGTTAATTCATGAATAAGAGTTAATAAGATTAACTCAAATTACAAAGAGTTGTAAACCCACTACTAGTATTAATTGTGAACCTAAAAGGGTCACACCAATTTGGATGATGACAATATTGCAATTGGTATTTCCAATAGTTGGATTAATTGACAAGTATTAATTAAATAATTTGATTATTTAATTAAAATCTAATTTCGATTAAATGTCAATTAAAGGAATAAAATAAATTAATCAATTAGATTGATTAATTAGGCTTTAGATATTAATTAAGTAATTATTGGAATTACTAAATTAATAATTGGATTTTAGAGTTGGACTTTAAAATTCAAATTCAAATATTAATATGATTATATATTAAAAGCCTATTTAAAAGAGGAGATTTTATTTTTATGGGAGATAAGATTTTGACTAATTAATTTTTTGAAAGTTTGTTTCATAAATTATGTGTCATTATTTTTTAATTAATCTTTAATTAAGATTAAAGATTAAATAAAAATATATATATATAATAATAGTAATAAAAAATTGGTTAGATGAGAGTTGTTGTTATTTTCAAACTTACTCCAATTAATTAAAATAAAATGAGTTGTAAGATGCTAGTTGACTTCACAAACTCATTACTACATTATTGTATATATATTCGTGGGTTATGAGGTGTGAAGTGTGAAGAAAAACACATGAAAATCAATCTCCCATTTTTCCAAGAATAGCTCTCGGTTTTTATTCAAAGAAAAAAAAAAATCTCCTCTTATAATTTTTATTCCTATACCGATTCAATTCCGGAAAATTTCTACTAGCGAAGAAATGGTTTTCGGAGTTGGAATCCAAAAGGTGGACTCGATTAGAGGGGAGACACTTGGATCCCTTATGGTGAGACACACGAAGACGGTGATAGCTACATAACCGGAAATTTATTTCCTCAATCATCGCCATTTTGAAGGAGTTCAAGTAAAAAGTAATTTGTGAAATTATTTTACAAATCAAAATTAGTAAAAGTTACTAGATTTTAAATGATGCTTATCCGTTATCTCGTTATACTTTTGTACGGTATAAGTATTTATGAGATAAATACTTATAAAATTTTAAATTCTGCTGCATATTCTGTTTCGTACGGTATAGCGAACCCAACAGTGGTATCAGAGCTACAGGTCACGGTTCGCATCTTTAAAATCATATTTTGATTTGTTATGTTTATATGATAAACATGATTAATTGTTAAATGGCTTAATTGCTTTAAAAATCACGACCTTTTACGTTTTGGACGTTTTAACCAAACCTTTGGAAATAGGCAAACATATCACGACCTTGTATAAAAATTGAAACCCGAACCCAATGTCTGTCGGCGGTGAATTTTTGACAGCGTGTCCGGCGTCCGTTCCTACGTGGCCTCGACTGCTCGCTGACTTGGCACAACTAAACCGACGTGTTAAAAACCCAAAATACACATGTGATACACGTGCACACCCACCCCATATATAAATTAAAAATCGGGGCCCAAAAAATTATCAAACCATAATCCCAACTTGCAACAAAAAAATCCTTCTCTCTCGAAATCGAAGAAATCTGCATTTGTTCCAATCCAATCGGGCCAACAAGGTGTCACGATCTGCGGCCCCATTGTTGCGACCATTAGTGACAGGTATGTGAATCACTTTTTATTTTTATTTGTTGTTGTCGGATTTTGAAAACTGGTTCACAATTGTTGATAGGGATATTGGAAATGGATTGTTTGTTTTTATTTTTTAATTCAATGTTAATTATATATTAGATTATGTTCGATTTGTTTAATATTATTGTGAATTTCGAAATATGTTGCTCAATTGAATTCGTACATTGTTGATACGGACCCGTGAATATATGTTTCTTTGCGATCTTTACTTCAGTGTTAATTATCTATTAAATTACGTTTGAATTCTTGAATAAAATTGTGAATTCGACATAGGATTTTTAAATTAGGGTTTTATTTGGGAAGATTTCAGAATTTAGGGTTTTATTATAAAATTGGGGTTTTCAGCAAATTTAGGGTTTCAAACAATTTCCAATTTATTAAATAAATTCCAATTTCCTAAGGTTATAGGTGAATTAAGTGTTATATTTTCCAATTGTGATTCTATTCCAATATTATAACTGCACTTTCCAATTGTGATTCTTTTCATTGTTTCCATTGTAGAGACAAATTTTCACTCCTTGTAAATTATGGAGGTTTTTTTGTGAAATGTTCAACTGTTGTGGAGTATCTAGGTGGTACATTCACTACTGTTCATGGATTAGATGCTTATAGATTTGGCTACTTTGATCTACAAGAAGAAATACAAAAGTTGGGAGTTGACAAGTATGAAAAACTTGTATACAGAATACCCGGTGTTGGGCCAGGACCAGAAAGTTTGAGAGATATACTTGATGATAACGGTGTTATGGAGGTTATCAGTTGTATTGAAAAGAAGAAAACTTTAGTTCAGGTTTATGTAGTTGGGGGTGACATATTTGTTGATGAGGAAGAGCATAAATCTTTGAGTGAGGCATCAATTGAGATACCTGCAAAGAAGTTGCAACCAGAGGCACCACTAGCTGCTGAAAGTCAACAAGTTGAGACATCAAATGATTGTGACCCTGCAAGCCAAAAAGCTACTGCACCACTTGAGGTTGATCCTTCAAACCAGAGAGCTGATGCACCAGTTGAGGGTGATCCTGCAAGCCAGAAAGCTAATTCACCAGTTGAGGATGATCCTACAAGCCAGAAAGCTGATGCACCAATTGAGGATGATACTGAAATCGAGATGCAAGAAATTAATGATATAATAGATAATTACACTGAGATTGAAGCTTATGATGGTGGTGCAGTATCTGATTCTGAAGATGAAGATTATTTTCCAACTGGGATGAGTTCATCAGATGATGACCTATCTGAAGATCACTTTTCTGATGATGATGAATATGTTCAAGCCAGAAAGAACATACAGGAGTCTAAGAAGAAAGCACAAGATTTTGATGATTGTGTACCAAATGCACAACCAATGGCTAAGGTTTTTGAAGATGATGAAGTTTTACAAAATGCACTAATCTCTGATGAGTCAAATAGTGAGAGAGAAGTGGACTTAGATGGAAATTGTGTTCAAAGGAAGACAAGGTTGGTATATGATCCCAAGTGTGATCATAATTCACTTGAATTTCAGCTTGGCATGAGGTTTGAAAGCATTGGGCAGTGCAAGAGAGCTGTTAGAAAAGTGGCAATTGTGCAAGGTAGAGATGTACAAAATATGATGTGTAACAAAAGGCAATTGGAAGTTAGATGTCAGGATGGCTGCCCTTGGAGACTTTATGCCAGTGTGATTGAAACAGAAGGCAGTGTGGCTATTAAACATATACATAAAAAACATGTCTGCCATAGAAATGTGCAAACTAGACAACTCACTGCTCAGTGGATTGCAGAAGAGTTTGGTGAAAAGTTCAGAAGGAATCCAAGCATGTCAATTTCACAATTGGATGAAGCCATTTCTGACAAGTATGCAGTGCAACCTACAAAGTGGAAACTTTATAGAGCAAAGTGGAAAGCCCTTGAATTGCTAAGAGGGTCTGTCATGGATCATTACTCTCATCTCAAAAGTTATATGGCTGAGCTAATGAGAGTGGATAGAGAGGGGAAGTTTGAGTTCTTACTTGGGGAAAGTACTACATTCAGAGGCTTCTATGTGGGTTTTAGTGCTCTAAGAAAGGGCTTTTTGAATGGCTTCAGACCTATACTTGGATTTGATGGATGTTTTTTAAAAATATTCTTAGGAGGAGCTTTGTTATGTGCCATTGCCAAAGATGGTAACAATCAAATCTATCCAGTGGCTTGGGCTGTGGTTGAGGCTGAAAATGAAGAGTGTTGGAAGTGGTTCCTCTCAAGGTTGTTTGCAGATTTGGGTATAAGAGATGGGTTAGGATATACTTTCATTCCAGACCAACAAAAGGTGAAGTGTTCATTCATTTATTACTTATCAGTCTGTATTTGAAATATTAACATGTTTAACTAAAACACTTGTTCTTTGTAGGGTTTGTTGAATGCTTTAAGGGACTTGGCCCCATTTGCTGAGCACAGAAATTGTGCTAGACATGTCTACATGAACTGGAAGAAGGAGTTCAAGGGACAGGCTCTGAAAAACTTATTCTGGAGGATTGTTGTAAGCACCCACAAAGGTGACTACAACATTGCTTTGGAAGACTTGAAGGCAGAATGCAAAAAAGCTTATGAAGACTTCATTGACAGAGATCCCTCAAAGTTTTGTAAGGCATTTGTTTCTCCTCTTCCTAGGTGTGATATGATAGAAAATAATGTTAGTGAGACTTTTAATGGGTTTGTAGTTAAGGGAAGAGGAAAATCTATTATTGAGATACTTGAATTTGTAAGGACTGAACTAATGAACAGACAACATGGTAAATTGATGGAGATGAGTGGACATCCTGACAGGATTTGTCCTGGAATAAGATCAAAGGTAGAGCAGAATAAATATTTATCCAGACTCTGTGTCACAAAGCCTGCAGTTGGTGATAGGTTTCAGGTTGCATTAGAAGATGATCAGTTTGTGGTGGATTTGAGGGATAATACTTGTACTTGTAGACAGTGGGATATAACTGGAATTCCTTGTGTGCATGCTTGCTCAGCAATACACTTTCAGCATAAAGATCCTGCTGACTATGTTTCTAAGTTTTATCACTACTAGAGGTATTTGAGGATGTATAGCAACTCATTGGAGCCCATAAATGAGAAAAAGATGTGGCCTGCTGCACAAGGCTATCCAATCTTGCCCCCTCCTTTCAAGAAGATGCCAGGAAGACCAAAGAAGAGAAGAAGAAGGGCTCCTGAGGAAGAAGCAAAAGGTGGAAGCAAGTTGAGAAGATTTGGGTTAGTTATGACCTGTCAAAGGTGTTTCCAAAAGGGTCACAACAAGAATCATGCACCCTGCCTCAAGTGGAACAACCTGCCAAGGTAAAAAATTCCATAACTTTTTTCATGAAATTCATTTTCTTGAGTACTGAAATATTTACTTTTCTATGAACAGAAATCAAAGGGAAGGCCTAGAAAGAATAGTTCTTATCGTCCACCCCCAACTCAAGTTCAACCAATGGTGTCTGAGACCATGGTAAGTCCACCAGTTTAGAGCATGACTACACCTACCGAATCACTTGACAGAATGATTAGACCAACACCATCAACTCAGAGGATGACAACCAGGTCTCTAGAAAAGACAAACAAATTGCCTGTTAGGAGGTGCAGTCAACGGTCAACAGTGATACAAAAATAAAGAGCATTGGTAATTGTTTTATAATACTATTATATTTTATACCAATAATTTTGGATGATAACATTTTTTTTATTTGTCTTTGGCAGGCCAGAAAAGGATTTGGGATCTTGCAGTCTGAGGAAACTGGTAATATTTACATGAAGGTATGATTTTTATCAAGAATTCATTTATTTGAAAGAATATAAGTAATTTATCAGAAGCCATATAGGTAATTTTTTAATATTATAATGCAGTTGTCCAGTGAAAAGAATATTCATATGGTATCTAGAGAAAGAGGTCAAAGCAGTGGCTCAAGCAGAGGACACCACAGTGGGTCAACCTCTGCTAGAGGTAGAGGGCAAATGAGTGGTTCCTCTGGGATAGGAAGAGGTCAGAGGAGTGGGTCAACTGGGAGAGGAAGAGGTTAAAGGTCAATTGGAAGAGGTACCAAACCTTCATCACAACAAGCAGGGGACTTTATATGCACTCAAGAGAGTGAGACTTGAGACTGATATACCTCTCCATGTAAAGAACAAATTGATGATGATGTGTTAGTGTTTGATGTGGTATTTTGAACAGACTGTGGTATTTTGAACAGACTTAGTAATGTTATGGTGCTTTTGGGATACTTTTGAAAAAATTTGGTATTGTTGAACTGATCTTAGGGATGTGTTATGCTGTTTTTGGGATTTGGAACAATTGTGGATGTTTGGAAACTTTTGTTATGGATATGGAATTTCAACTATGTGTTTTGTGGTTTTGATAATGAATCATGTGATCTTGTGATGTATAATGTTTTGCAAATGAATTTACATAAGCCATTTACATTCTTCTGTGATTTAGTTGATCAATTTACACAAAAAAAGCTAGATAGTTTATGAACCTAACATAACATAATGCTCAATCTAACATAAGAAAATGCTCAATCTCATGAATAAAATAGATAGTTTATCAATTCATTACTTCAAAATAACATTTCATACGAGGATTCCAATTTCAGTACGTACATCAACCTAACATAGCCCCATAATTCACCAAAAAACTAAGAAAATACATACTTCAGTTCAACATATTAAGATAATGGACATGACTATTTCTACCAAACACACTCACAACAAGAACTAAAACAACAACAATCAAAGAAACCATAAAAACACTCATTTTCCTTTCAAGGTTTTTCACTTGAGTTATGGTCTTCTCCAGAACCAAAATCATTTCAGAATTCTTGTCACCTTCAACATCCTCTTTCAAACTCGATCTGTGATTGTGAAATTTTTCCATGTCCGCAACTTTTCTTCCAAATCATGTTTTTCAGCCTTCAATCTTATGAAGCATGTCCTTTGAAACTCGGGCAATGATTGATCAATCCATTCAAAGAAACGACAACCTTTCTGCATATCAATGAAAGGCAAATCTCAAAGCAAAATTTCGACAGCAAAAATTCACAGTAAAAAAATTCAAAGCAAAATTTCAACAGCAACTATGAACCCTAATACTTAGCTAAATTCAGCCAAATTCACCAAAAAAAAAAAAAATCCTATACTATTCTCAGCCAAATTCTCATTGCAATTACATTACCTCTCTATTCCGACATCTGTAGAACCTCCTACATGGATTATCATTAGTCATGGAGGTGAGAACGATCGCATCTTCACCGTGGTCGCACAGCTTCCGTGTCGACACATTGGAGGCACCACTATTTTCGGAATTTTGGCTTCTACGAGATGAGCAAGACATTTTCAGACCAGATACGGTGAGATTTTTGAGGAAAATTGGCTGCGAATTTTGGGGCTAGAGTTAGGGAATTAGCTGCGAAATTTGGGGAAGAAATAATTAGGGTTTGGAGAAAAAATTTGGGGAAGAAATAAGGAGAATTATCCC